TTTCTCCTTTGGGAAAAGTATATAATACTCGTCTATTAAGTTCTTAATTTGAGGTTACTTTAATTCCAGAATTTGCAAATTTCTTTTACCTCAAATTTTCCATCTTGTCGGTTAATTTCTTGTACATATTTATTTGTTTTTACATCTGTGTGTGATTATCCTCCTGTCATCTGAATCTTCTATGTTTGATTTATTATAATTTAATGTATTAGTTTCGGTGCTCAAATAATCCCTAGTGTACTTGATAATGTTTGAGTGAGTGACATACATCACGTATGGGTAACTTTAGGAATAACGTGGGTGCCGCCTTTTTTCTGTCCCCTTCTGCCATGGAACTATTGTTGGTTTTGGTGGGTAGCCTGGTTAGAGGTTGATCACTTAACTGGATCAAGGGCTGAGATGGCTCCAATGACATTTGAGTCTTCATTTGCAGGCAGTTACTCTACTCTGGGTCACTTCTCACATTTAACCCTTCAGTCCCTTAAGATCTGAAAGTGGCTGACTGTGTTCTCAGCTCTCCCACTCCCTTTTCCCCAGCCCTGTGCCTCTACTATTGTCAGTGTGCAGCAGCTCCTTGGAGAGGTGCTCCCATACCTCAGGCTCAAGCCTGCTCCTCCCTTCTCTCCAGGGTTCTCATCCCCTAAGTCCTCACTACTCAGTAGTCTGAAGTTTTTGAAGTCTTTTTAAAAATGTGCTGTATTTTGTGCACTCTTAGGAATCTTCAATGGAAGGAATTATGTGCAGTAAACTCCCTACTGAGATGTAGAAGTCCTGCCTCCCACTGCTAATCTGGGAAAACTGACAGGGGACTACTGATTTATTTTTCAAGTCGTAATGTATCAAATTTCAATAACAACCAAGTCTAGGAGGAAGTAGCTTCAGAACCAACATTGCATGAAGTCTGTCTCCTTACAAATGTCTGCAGTTACTTAAATGAAGGCTACAGTAAAGTGGAAACCTAGTCTGTTTCCAATAGTCAAGTTAATAACTCAAAGGCTCTTTATTTCTGGCATAATACTCCATTGTTTTCATTGAGAAAACATTGTTAAATTTGGACGCAAAATTGAAGGTAAACACTTTTGTTGAGTTGTGACACTATTAATAAAAACCATCAGATGTCTAAAATTATCTTTTAAAATAAGCTTTATTTAAATTTATGGACAAATTAGCCATCAGCCAGCATGAGCCATGACCTTCATTTTCTTGACTTTGGACCAATGTGCCATTTTCTACGTTTTCTGTCAAGTACTGGAGTTGAAGATGCTCATCTTGTTCTTGTCCTCCATGTACACGTCCATCTTTAAGGTAACAAGAGCTCTGATAAAGACTCACCTTTCCACGTTGGGAGTTCTATTTAAGAAGAAATGTTTTTTTCCTTCCCCCAGTACCTCAGAACTGCCAGTGAGTGACCAATGTCCATCACTTCTAGGGCCACTGCTGGCAGATCAGCAACTCCCCAAAGGCACACGACAGTTGACTCCCGGGCTGGAACACCCGCACCAGTGATGGAATAAGGGATACGGGTCCTGCTCACATGTGGAGGCAGGAAATCATGTGGAGGTCCACCCTTCAGCCCCTGGAGTGTGCAGGGACAAAGCTTCATGGAGCCTTCCTACCCTCAGAGGCAGCCAAACAGGGGGAGAAATGCCAGTGAGGGCCCCAACCTCTAGACTGCCATCTCCGTACTTCTTTTCTGGGTGGTAGAAAGAAGCCTTTACAAACATGGGATAAATTTTTTCATGAAAGATTTTCAAGAAGAAATAAATGGGAACTGTTTCAAAAACTTGAGCTTGGAAGGAAGGAAGGTCCGAAGAGAAGGACTTGCCCAAATTCTTCATTAGCTTTCCCTTCTAGTCCAGACTGAATCTCATATATCCAAATTCTAGTCATACTCTACAGTGAAAAGTGTACACTTAATAAATATATAAATAATTTGAATTCTATTATGAAATAAGACAGTGGATTATAGAAGAAGTGCAGATCTTCCTTTAGAATGAATGGCAGTTGTAGAGTACAATGTCTTTCATGGAACAGAAGGAGGAAATCATACCCACAGGCGGGAAACAGGAGCTTATGATTTAAGGTTATTGTCACAGGTAAAGCTTCCACGAAGTGTTTAATGTACTCTTTTCATAAATGCTTTCTGTGGCTATGTGAAGGTCTCATGAAGATCAGCTGAAATCAGCAAATGATGAAATTGAGCTGAAAATTTACAGAGAAAAAAATGGAAACAAACAAACAAAAAAACCCTCTAAGTAATATGGGAGAAAGCAATTTCAAAATCAAGAGGAAGAGAAATTCCGGAATGAGCACTTTTTCTACCCTTTTGCTTATACTAATTTACTGGTTAATTCAAGAGCCAAGAGGGCACTGACTTGATTAGGACAATAATGAGATGTATGTACAGTTCTTCCTAGTTAGGGCCTGTCCCTGGAAGCATTGAGGTTCAACACAGGAGTATCATTTAGCAGTAAACAAAGTGAGGAGACTCTCGCATACCTAACTCCTACAGAATAAACTGATGTTCCTGATTGGTACAGTTTGTTAATATACATTTCCCATTTATCACTTCTTTCTGTTCACTGATGAAGTGGCCTCCTGAGATGGTTAAATAGATATTATGGATTCAAATAAATAGGTTACACATTTTTTCTTGTGCCAAAAATGTAGGGCATTCTAGCAGTCATCATGGGACAGGAATGAGATGTCAGGAATTCTCTCTTTAGTGTCTGGTTTGAGAATGTTGATTCTGAGTTGTACAGTAACAAGAATTGTCAACTTAAAAATGGCTTCCTTTGTTGAGGGTGGAGACTGTATGACCACAATGATGAATGGGGCTCACAGATGCCTGTGACAAGCCTTAAAACATTCTGAGGGCTAGGGAGATGTCTCAGTGGGTAAAAAGCACGTGCCACATAAGCCTAGAGACCCGTGTGTAGATCCTTAGAACATTCATAGAAGGACACAGTAGTGCAGGCATCTGTAACCTCAGTGTGCCCACTGGGATGGCAGAATCCCAGGCCAGCTAACCTTGCTTATACCTACTGGGATGGCAGAATCTCAGGCTAGCTAGCCTTGCTTATACCTACTGGGATGGCAGAATCCCAGGCTAGCTAGCCTTGCTTATACCTACTGGGATGGCAGAATCCCAGGCTAGCTAGCCTTGCTTATACCTACTGGGATGGCAGAATCCCAGGCTAGCTAGCCTTGCTTATACCTACTGGGATGGCAGAATCCCAGGCTAGCTAGCCTTGCTTATACCTACTGGGATGGCAGACTCCCAGGCTAGCTAGCCTTGCTTATACCTACTGGGATGGCAGAATCCCAGGCTAGCTAGCCTTGCTTATACCTACTGGGATGGCAGAATCCCAGGCTAGCTAGCCTTGCTTATACCTACTGGGATGGCAGAATCCCAGGCTAGCTAGCCTTGCCTGTATAGTGGCAACGAGACCCTGTCTCAGACAAGGTGGAAAGGGGAAGTTCAACAACAGGTTGTCCTCTGACTGCCATGCATGCTCTGTGGCACGCACCTCAATACCTCTCTCTCTCTCTCTCTCTCTCTCTCTCTCTCTCTCACACACACACACACACACACACACACACACACACACCCCTCCTGAGACCCTTCCAATAGACAGTTGGGATGGTCTTTTGGCTCTACTTTAGCTTGAGGGTCAGGAGGGACAGCTGCTCATTAGTAGGCAAACCATGGCTCTCCAGCTGCAACTTCCTGGGCACAAAGTTGGGGTGCCCATTGTACTCCCCCTTCAGCATTGAGGTTCTTGCCCCGTCTTTCGCCTGGGTGGGCTCTGCATACAGTTTCTGTTCAACTGTGCATAAGAAGGTCCATCTAGTTCTTTTATGTAGGTACTAAGGAATATAGTATATGAAGAGTTCACAAGAAAACATGAGATCACGTTGTTTGATGAGAAAATATGAAACAATATTGAACCTCCGAGGAAGAAGGAAGAAAAGGACAACTTTAAATTCTACCTCCAGCATCCATAAACATCCAGTCTTCTCTGTAGAAGGACATCATTTTTGTAGGATATGATACTGGGCCTTCAAAGGGCTAATTCTGGGAAGCAGTGTATGTGCTTTTTTTTTCTATCAAAGTTACATCATGGTGATATACAAAGCTGTTTATGACACACCAGGATAGCTCCCTCTGATGGTCAGAAATCCAGGGTCTTCTGCTTCTCCAGCAGCCAGATTGGACCTTGTTCAAAGACCCTAGGACCAAAAGTCATAGATTCTAAAAGACAACCCTGAGCAGTAAATGCCACAGCTATGGTTCATGGTCCTGTCCATTTCTGGCTTCCCAAGTCCCACATTGAACATAACACTGCAAAGCACAATCTGAACTGCACATGGATACAGTCACATGGATGACAGGGAAACTGGCTGTAGCTTCCAAAACAATGTTTCTGACCTTCAAACCTCTTTAAATGGCAATATTGAATGTGCTGATACACTACAGTACTATAGTTTAAAAAACAATGCCACTTCCCAAACAAAAGAAACAGTGTCATGTTATTTTGTCTCAGCAGCATCTCCCATATAGAAAAGAACTATGATGTGGAAGTGAGTCTTGCACACTGAAGAGATAAACAGAAGATGTCCTAGGGTGGTTAGGATAAATATCTTAATATAGAAAAATATAAAATAGTCATAAATGTTACTTATTAAGCAAAAGCTGTCTACCTATGAGCAATTTAAGATATTACAGACTTCTTGTCAAATCTTCCAGGCGACCATCAGGAGCAAATGAAAGTTCAGTATGGAGATCAGGCTGTGCACTGCGCTAAGTGACTCCACGTTGTGTGAAGCAGTGGTTTTCAGGCCGTGTCTTGCCCTGGGTAACTTCACTTTATAAGCAACGTTTGGCTATATTTTGAGTACAAATGCAGAGGCAGGATGACTACATCTCTCTGTGCATGTATACACCTGTCTAGCACCAACAGTGAGGCATAGACTGATGAATAACTTACCCTTAAAAGTAAAAAGGCACCACTTTAATGAATTTATCAAATTCAGTTGCAAACACATGGGTAGATTAGAGCCACATCAGAAAAACCAGACCCAAGAACTTATCGAACACGTCAGATCAATGAAGGGTAAAACACCTGGACTAGAAAACAGGTCACGTAGTGAGGTGATGGATATGGCTATGCCAGCCTGTCATCACAGGCAGGATAGAAAGACGGAGAATGAAGGGAGCATGAGGAGGGGATAAGCCTTCACCTGGGATCTAGTTTGCCTTTCCTACTGGCTGAGAGTCAAGAAACATTACAACCAATAAAGCCAAAATTACCAACAGAGATGATGTGTGTTTTCCTAAAGACATCTCAAACAAAGAGGTTAAAAACAATAAGTGAACTATGGTCACTCATGGCTAGAATGGGTATAATCTTGAGCTTTAGGTATTAGCCCTCCTCTCTCATCTCTAAATCTAAACAGCACCTCATATAAACCACCTTACAGTTTCATTTACAAGAAGAAATGCTTTGATAGGAGAAATAAGTAAACCAGATAATATATTTGTAACCAACTTTTAAACTTCATTTAAATTTGCTCAATCTTTAATTGAGCATATAACTTAGCCACAAAATCATAAATATAGTCATTGTAAGGTGTGACTGAATATGACTCTCAAGAGGCTCACATTCATGTGTTGGGATTATATACTGTCCTCTTCTTAAATACTTAAACTCACTCATTTTAACCCCCCTTTCTTGTGCTGCCATTTCTCTGGCATAGCCAAGGATCTGGCTCTACCTGAGTGGAGGTCTCTAAGGGGAGAACAAACTCCCCAGGCTGCTGCTGGCAGTGTTGAACTGCATTTTTCCACTGTGGCTGACATTTTCTGTGGGGTCTTGTCCAACATCTGCAAGCCAAGGAGAGGAACCACAGGTGGAGCCAGACCTGTAACTCCTTAGTTGAGGATTTCCAACTGCCAGAACTTTAAGAAAGTAATTTTCTGTTGTCTTAGCCACTGAGCCTGTGGCCTCTTGCCATGGAAGCGCCATAGTAGTGCAGAAAGGTACCCAGACCATCAGGAACAACACTTTGGCAGGTCAGAAAGGATGTGAAGACCAAGCATTTCTGTGAGCCTGTGTGGAACAAAACATTGTCCAACCAAGCTTAATACTATGTTAAGGCCTGATATTTGCACCAATAAGAACTGTACAATCTGCAGGTTCAATCTTGCAAACTATGTTTCTATAGGCACACACATATATATGAATAATTATTTTTATGTCAGAGAAACTGCCCTGTCATTCAGTAAATTCCAAACACAAATCTGCATGTTAAAAGCCCAGGACAATCTTCTGCTGATTTTGCTCATAGTCAAGCAGCTTAAATACCTCAAGCAGCTTAAATACCTGTACCACCCATTCCTGGGTTTTGTCTCTTTTGTGCCCCAGGAAAATTGCATTTGTCTTGTAGTGAACACGATTTAAAAGACATTCTAAGGCTGTTACTCTAGTAAGAATGACTCCTGATTGCTTGAAGTGAGGAGAAAATTTTGTTGTGAGTTAGCATCTCTAAAATTACATTGCCAGCCTGGTCTACATAGTGAGTTCCAGGACAGCTGGGGCTACAGGGAGACCCTGTCTCAAAAAGACAGAAAAAAAAAAGGTGAAATGACAAACCATCAGAGACCAGGAAGCTCCACAAGCCATCAGAGCCTCCTATAAACTGTTAAGAGAAAATCACATCAGAGCAGGAGGCTGGGGCTGTCAGGGGTATCACTGTGGGGCTACCAGAGGTCTGAGGTTTAGATTTCGAACACTGGTGGAGCTGGTTCACCATATACCAGCTTCTCACCATTTTCCTGTCTAGAAAAGTAGCAAATATCCCAAATAGCAAGTTGGCATGTCCTAAGCTCCAGCACAGAGTCAGCCATTTCATCTATTTTGGATCAATACAGTCAAAAGAAGAGAAAAAAAATTACTTAAACAACTTAAATACAAAGTGCACACCGAGGCACGGCAGGGAAGCTCCCTGGGTCTCAGAGCATTATGACTAACACAACCTGATGAGAATGCGGCCACTGGCCTCCCAAATATGTTCTGTAAAACATTGCTGTTAGCAGTGAGGAACAAAGCAGGAACAGGAAGTCCTCCCAATCATGTCAGTGTTGACTCAGTTTCCCCAGAAAAGGCAGTGACTGTGTGGTCCCTTCTATCCTTTTCCTTCTTTGGAAGGAGATGCCTGTCTGTTAATGAGAGGCAAGCACAGAGGTGTGCTTGGTTATGTATCATCCCAGAAAAGAGAGGATTCCCGTAGTGTGAATACTGAACGAGCAACTGTGTGTGTTCCTTTGTGTGTTCAGTCATATCTGTACCTGTCAGAGGTGCTGAGGGTGTGAAAATAAGTGAGAAGGCTGCTGACTCCATATGAAAGGCTCAGGCTACTGAGGAAGACCTGGATGAATAAATTGAGGCAGGAGCAAAATAAATTATTGTAGCTATAAAATAGCAATGTGATATAAAATCTGTCAGATTTTTCTCTATACATCTACAATTACAGATTTTGCACAAGCACCTTTAAAATGACTAGTTTTCTAAAGTCAATCTATGACAGAAGAGAACAATTATCATACTTGTCAACTCCATCAGCAGAAAAATATATCAAATGGTGCAAACTTAAAAGTCTCATTCTATAACTGAACATATTGAAATTTCACTTTTCTTAAAACCTGGAGATGTGATAGGGTCTGCCTATTAGAAGGCAGGTGCTGCCACCTAGTGCCCAGTCAAGGTATGTGGCAGCCCTGCACTCAAAGCCAGTGCGATTGGGGGAAAGGCAAGGCTGGGTCAGAGTGGAGGTGGTCAGGTCTCCTTGCCGCAATAGTACCAGTGTCCGTGTCATCTTAAACATGCTATTGTAAATCCACAGACAGAATCACAGTTTGTACGTCTGGATGTTTTGACCATGGTGGTGTGTATGTTTGAGTCTAAGCAAAAGTGAAAAGCTACAAATAGCAGTAGGTGGAGACTAAACCAAGAGGTCAAGGGTGGTTAGAGCATAGGGGGTCAATGCTGCTACTGAGCAGAATCACAGAGATGAGCACTGTGCAACCCCAGGAAACTGGACAGGAGGGATACAAGAGAGGGTGACAGTCTGAGGCTCACTCAGGGGGTCATGGTCTTTCCAGAAGTGGAAGATTTTCCATTCACTGGATTCCTCTTAGAGCAATGCTGTGACACAGGCCAGCCTTCCTTCTATTTCTGTAAAGTCCATACGTGAACATTAGGCAGAGAGAAGATGCTGTCTCTGAGTGTTTCAGCCATAAAGGAAAGGGAGGAAAGTAGGCCAGGAGGCAGTAAAGAATGAGGGCTAAAGCTGGGTGTAGAGGTCAAGCCCACTGGGGTTAACGATGGAGCGGCTGCATCTTCAGAAGCACTTCCATGGACAGTCTAGTTATGTGTTAACTGAAATTGCAAACAGCTCTTTCACCTCTTTTTAAAAATTCAATGAAAAGTGCAGTGCTGGGGCTGGAATGGCTCAGCGGTTAAGAGCACTGGCTGCTCTTGCAGAGGACCCAGTTTCCATTCCCAGCACCCACATGTGGCTAACTGTCCCTAACTCCAGTTCCAGGGAACCTGATGCCATCTTCTGGCCTTCCTGGGCATTGTATGTACATGGTGCACTTACATACATGCAGGTAAAACACTCATTCACATAAAATAGAAATAAATTTTTAAAAAGTTTGAAAAAAACAGAGGAGTGCTTTCCAATACTTCTTGTTAAAATTTTGTAGTTGATCTAAATGAAAACTGGATTGAGGGTCAGGAAAAAAATGTGTGCCAGCACACAGAATTGAACTCAAAATACACAGAGGATCTGTCTAATACCAGTACCAGATTTCCAGCAGATTACTGGTGTCTGGCCTGTTACTGGGCCTTTGTTTAGTGTAGATGAAGGATTATACTTTGGCACAAGCCAGGGCCACATCTGATTATCATCCAAACAAGGCACTGGATGGCAGTAGGAGCTTCGCCTTCAGGGCCAAGGCATCTTTGGGGATGAGGCCTCTGGCCAGCATCCCAGGCTCCACTCAAATAACAAGACTGAGAGAATCCTGAGCCTGTGAGTTGAAGACAAACTCTAGAGACTGTAGTAAGACTTTCAGTCTCTTCTTCTGCTGTCAGAACTGAGCACATTGGATAGCAAATCACTGGAAGAGACACAGGTGTGTTCTCAGTCTCATAAACCTTTCCCAAGATGTTCTCGGCTACCTCCCAGAGTCTTCCATCTGACTTGTCATCAGTCTGGGAGGCATCACTTGGCACACAGGTTTGTGAGGCTCAAAGGTAAGAGCTTGCAGGGCAAGGTCATCAGGAGTTCTGGCCTGAGATGGCCTCAAGGCAACTCCATGGCTGGAGGTTGTTCAGAGCCTAGTGTCAACTGACAGCTGGAAGCATAGATAGTAGCAACATGGAGGTCATGTGGAACTGTGTGGACTACAGCAGATTTAACCAGAACAGCCCAGGCAAGGAGCAAGTTGAGTGACTTCTAGCTTCTGATTCAGGGATGCGCTACAACACGTATGTGGAGGACTGCAGCAAGCAAGGTTTGGGGGCTCTGTATGGCTTGGAGTATGACCCCTGGGTAGGGGTGTACAGCTCTTTTGTGGTAAGCAGGTTCCGACTAGGGCATGGATGACCATGACCACCTGGATGTTTCCTGACCAATGCAGTCACAAGCTGGGGGATATAGGTGTCATCCTTCCAGTCATCTATGTTCTCAATGGGTGAGAGACTTCAGGCTTTGAGGAGAGATATTTTTTCCCCTTCCCATGTCTCCTTAATTTTCCTTTCTATTCTGCCTCTAACCACCTGGTAGAGTACAAATACCAACCAACCAGACCACACCTTGACCAACACTGCTTAGCCATTCAGTCCTCCGGCTCTCCTACCCTAATTCTTCCTTTATTCAAACCTAGAGGTCATGTCAGTGCCCTTAACACAGACTTGGGGTCAGTGAACTCCTCAATCTATTTTTCTTCCTAATGTGGCCAAACCAAGTAAATCTTTCTCCATCTCCTTCATTATTATTTGTCTCTTTAATTGGCATATTGGGACAATGGCTGAGCCTAGCCTATCAGGTCTCCCTGAGCTGGAACATTTGTCCCCAAGCCCCTCTAACAATGTGAACAGAAGACAAGAAATTTGAAACTACGAAGCAAATAGACATTTCCCAAGAGCACAATGGTTATCAAAGTTAATAAAAATGCAAAAACTTGAATATGTTAACCGATGAAAAAATGTTCAAAGTACTTAATAGTTCTCATCTAGAATATAAGAACCCAGAGGAATAAATGCTCAGCAGCACTTCCCAAACTTTGAAACGTGTTAATCCCTATATTAACTAATTTATTCACTCATTCATTTGGTAACTGTATACAGATTTACTATGTGCTGCAAACCAAGGAATAGCGGAAAAGCTCCTGGGCTTGCAGAGCAAAGCAGGATATCATTTAACAAGCAATGAAACAAACACATGGCAGACAGCAAGTAAACAAACAACATGGGTACAAATGTGGGTGACACTAAGCCACGTCTTATGTGGTTGTGCTAGCCAGGACCTGTAAGGATGAACCATATAGCCCAACTGGTGTGTGTGTGTATGTGTGTGTGTGTGTGTGTGTGTGTGTGTGTGTGTGTGTGTGTGTGTGATTTTCCACAACAGAGTCATTGGCTCCTTGTTAGGGCAGCCAAAAGAACCACCAAACCAATAAGCAGACGGAGAAAGAGAGAAGTCAGGCCAGCAGAGACCTGTTGGGATGTGAGAGATAAAGGGTGGACACAGCTGGTTGCAAGAAGACTAAGGCTCCCCTGGGACAGAGGGCTTGGCACAAAGCTTGGTAACCCTAAGAAAAGAAGACAGGCCATGGACAGGAAAGCAGGTCTCTGTGTGGCTGGAGATACTGCAAGGCCATGTGATCTGACATCTATCAGGGCATAGAAGAGTCAAGGGGCCCCAAGAGAAATGGACACTTTAGAAGTGTTCAAGCAAAGTAGTTACTTTGCTTTGTGTCAGATGATCTCTAGCTGTAAAGAATGGACTGTGGACAGAGACCTGTGGCAGCAGCACAGTTCAGGGATGGAAAAGTGTTAATCAGATAGTGAAACCCAAACCTGAGACTCCAGATAATTAGACCTGGAGGGACGATTCCTTGTGTACTGCCTGTGGAGAAGTTTAGGCTGGGTCCTTCAGAAACCAAGAGGGAAAAACCACTGCAGTTGCTTAGCAACATGCACCTGTGGCTGGTTCCCATGGCCTAGGAATACAGTCAATTTCTATTATCCTTCCTGCCTTATTCTCTCAGTGCCAAATTAACCCAAAGATTGGGCCTCTCATGACAGCAAAGTGACTGCACTTTACTTCACATTCTCATTCAAGCTCACCCAAGTCAAGAGTAACTAGCACTCAGAACCAGAAGAAAACTTTTCCTAGAACTTATAGAGACCATTAGTCTGTTGCAAACTAGCCACATCCCTATCAAGACAAAAATGTAGCAACAGCTCCAACGGAAATAAAATATAGTCTATTGTGAGCCAAACATGAGTGACAATGGCTTGGGAACATGGATTTAAGTAACCCTGAATGATGTTCCACTGTGGAAGAGGTTGCATGAACTTTCATAATTACAACAAAGGAAAGCCGTAAATTAGTGCATTTACCAAATATACAGGTGGGAACACCAGGCGGAGGGGCTACAGCAGAATGGGCTGGAGAGACGGCTCAGCAGTTAAAAACACTGGCTGTTCTTGCAGAAGACCTGGGTTCGAATCCCAGCACCAACATGGCAGCTAACAACTGTCTGTAACTGCAGTTCCAGGGGATCCGACAGCCTCTTGTGTCCTCTGCCGGCATTGCATGACACAGGTGCACTTAACCTACATGTAGGCAATACATAGATACACATAAAAATAATAAAGTATTAAAAATCTCTTCTATAGGTGCCAGTCGGTATCTTATAACATTCTTTGCTTCCCAGATCTCTGAGGAAGACACCAAATTCATCCTGATCTGTGGTCTATCCAGGGTCTGCGGGTTGGGGCACTATATACATGCAGAGCCTGTTGGGCACAGATAATTGCGCCGGTCCCAAGTCTCTGAGGAGAGTGCGGTATTCACCCAGGGTCTTTGGGGTGTGGACTCCATGCCCATTCCGTGTCTCTGGGCAGTCACCAGGCTCATTCCAGGTCTGTGGGGCACTCAGACTCAATACCCAGTGCCCGCCTGTGGGGATAGACTGCACCCTGTTCATCCCGATGTGCGGGGCGGACGCACACTGTCCATCAGTCTGTGTGGGGTCGTCGGATCATCCCAGGTCTGTAGGGCGCAGGAGCCCGGCCGGTCTTGGGATGTCAACCACAGCACAAGAAGGAAGTCGTTCTACGTCTCTTACAGCGGTACACCATACCACCACACCTGGGCCTTCGAAAAGAAAATGCATGGAATTCTCGCGAGAGCACCCAAGTGCTAGGCTCACACCAGTGCAGATCTCGCGAGAAGAGATCAGATTCGTTTCCGGGCGGTGGGAAGCGGCAGCCTGCTCCCGGCAGTTGCAAAGGCCGGTCTCCTGCACGATGCCTTCCCCGTACTCCGTCAGAGCTTTTCCCGTCAGCATCCCCGCGGTGATCACGGTAACTTGCAGGCTCTGGAGACCAGGGACGCTGCGTGTGTGTGTGTGTGTGTGTGTGTGTGTGTGTGTGTGTGTGTAGCGTTGCTTTCCCGGCCAGGCTCTGTGTGAGTGTGTGTGTGTCGAGCGTTGCTTTCCTGGCCAGGCTCTGTGTGTGTGTGTGCGTGCGTGCGTGTGCAGCGAACGTTGCTTTCCCGGCCAGGCTCTGTGTGTGTGTGTGCGTGCGTGCGTGCGTGCGTGCGTGCGTGTGCAGCGAACGTTGCTTTCCCGGCCAGGCTCTGTGTGTGTGTGTGCGTGCGTGCGTGCGTGCGTGCGTGCGTGTGCAGCGAACGTTGCTTTCCCGGCCAGGCTCTGTGTGTGTGTGTGTGTGTGTGTGTGTGTGCGTGCGCAGTGGGCGTTGCTTTCCCTGCCAGACTCAGGACAGACTGTCTTGCTGGCACGTGGCACAAGATAGGGTGGTCTCTAGCGGAGAGCACTCGACTCAGCCTGCAGGGCATTGGGACTCCATGCTCTGGAGCCTGACTTGGCTCATAGAGCAAGGGCTGGGAAGGACCTAGTGTCCGGCGGGTCAGTCAGGCTGATCTCAGCCCAAGGTGTGGACACTGCTCACCTGTAAAGCCCAGGAAAACCGATGAAGCACTACCTAACCACCTGGGTTGGGTGCATTGCAGAAGTGTTGGGGACAGTCAAGTTCTGCTACTTAGAATGGCTCTGAGTTCCCGACCTTGACACAGGAGTTTATTCTGATCAGCCTCATATAGCCCAGGAAGTGCAATCTCCTTGAACAAGCCAACGTCCTTTTACTCAACTTGTTTAGGGATAAGTTGACCCCTTAGACTTCACCAGCTTAATAATTGAACAGTGAAAAGGGCTGAGTGGGTCATGCCTTCCATTCTGCGTACTCAGACTTTATTTTAGAAACCCTGCTGTAGTTGAGGCTTTGCTGTTTCTTCTCCCTTCTCTGTTTGCCCCCCCCCCCACGCCACCCAGAGTCTGGGAGGCCTAGCTGTGGAGTCCCACAACTCAGGGGTGGGACCAGTAACCCTCCCATTGCCCACAGGAAAGCAGTGTCCCAAACTCTCCTTGGCTCCTGGTTTCTAATAGTGTGTCTTCACAGGAGACAGACTGGACTGAGCCGTGGCTCCTGGGGCTGGTTGTCTTCCACCTGTTCTGCCTGCTTCTCACATGCTTCTCAACACAGAGGTATAAACTGCAGATTGGACACTTCCTGTGCCTGGGTGAGTAGGAGAGAACTTAACCCTATGCTCTGACTGCTGTGAGGTAGTCCTAGGTGTATGTATTGTCTTCACAGAACCTGTTAACTCTTCCATTCAGCATTCTGTGTGGAAACCATGAAGTACTTGGACATTGAACTCAGAAGGGGCTTGCTGAGTACTGCCTATGTTCCTGGCTGGCCAGGGAGAGTATGGAACAGCAGTTGTACAAAGATGTGCTGTGCAGACTCTGTTACACAGATATTTTCCTCCTTGTGTTCTGTCCCACACTGCTTGACTTTTCATGCAGACATTTTCTTGCTAGGTTTAGACCCACACTGCCTGCTCTAGGAGGCAGAATGTAAATTAAAAATTCTCTGCATAAAATGAAATACTGACCCAACTTAGTGATGGAATGATAGACAAAGATTACACAGAAAAAACCCAAAGTCATGGTACTGGGCCAAATGGGTCCAGTCAGTACACTGAGCCCCTCAGTTGGGTCAAAAGAGTATGTGGTAAAATATCAGTAAAAAAAGATAAAGAGTAGCTGGCTGGCCCTGGCATGAGGTCTGCCCCAAATGCAGACAAGCGGGCACAGCTCTTGAAGTACAGCGTAGGACATGGATGGGAAGTCAGATCACAGGTCAGGTACCACAGACCTGGAGCTAAGCATTCCATTGGTGAGGATTACATCTATAGATGTACTTGATTGTGTAGGTTTTGGAAGAACTGAGATTTTGCTTGGCAAATGGAAGAGCTGATTTTAGACAGATGAGTAAGTTGGCTGTGTGCAAGGTAGGAATTCCTGAGAAATGCTGGGGCTATATTGGTGAGCAAAACAGGCTTCTGAGCTTAATGTAGCTTCATGGGGGATACCCATGTTCAGTAGATAATCATAGATATATTAAATTGTACTGTCACCAGCTGTGATGATCCTTCTAATTCAGAGGTCAGTGGTACAGTGAAATACTCTGAGGGGCCTGACAGGAGTCAGTGCAGGAAGTACAGAAGCACACAGGTATGAGCCGACTAGAGTGCTAGGGTGAGTAGTTCTGCAGAGGGCTAATGTGCAAAGGCCCAAGGCAGGTGCCTTGGAAGATGGATGTCCCATCAGTTGACCTAGTGTATTTGGAAAAATTTTCTAAGCTTAAGAACTATGCATGCTTATGATTTTGAAGATGGATGACCACAAGCACCCTTACGAACTTCTCAGTGTATTCAGGGTTCTCAGTGTGATTTATATGCTTCATGACTTATTCCATCTTCTCAAACTGAGGCCCCGTGAGACTGGGCTTTCTACCTGGATCATGGTGGCCGCTGCGAGTGGAGAACAGCTTCATGGAGTTTTTATTAAGACCCTTAGGGTCTATATATGTGGTGATCTCTGTTTCTTTTTTCCTATTAAATGGGCATATTCTATAACTTCATAATTTTATAGCCTTTACTATATAATAGCTAAAGTGGCCATTGCATTTCTCAGCCATCTTTTGGTATTCTTGTGTATTTGACATTGTAGAAAGCACACACTCTACATCTATAATGATTCGTGGTTGGTCACATTCTCTAACATGGTTTCTGTCTCTTCTCAGTAGTGTTAGTCTATTGTGCTGAGTACATCAATGAAGTGGCCGCAATGAATTGGAGGTAAAGTCAAGCTTTTTGATCTCTTGACTGTGTCTTAGGAATTTCCCATTGCAGTGGTGTTGTCACTTGGAACTTTCCAAATAAAACACAGAACTTAGAGAGAAATTGAGGACGCCAGGAATTGCAGCTATATAAACATTGAGCGCCCCTTATAGATGAGCTTAGACCCTGAGAAACAAGCAGTTAAACTTTTTGTTGTTGACAAAAGAGACTAGTTCAACAAATTTTTTTTTTTTACTAAAATAATCAAAAGCTCCTTCTTAAAGCTATGGGCTATTCAACAAGACCCCCACTGTCAGGTGTGGGATAACTCTTTAAGAGTTATTGGTCAGTGAGATGCTAAAGGCTGTTAGAGTAGTTAAATAGTTGAAGAATGGTATAACCTTTGTTGATCGTGCCACATAAGCGCTAAGACATTGGCCAATTAAGTTATAACCTAGGAGAAAATGTAGTGGACTACTTTAATTTGAGTTACGTAATTCAAAAGTGGGATTTTTAGAGAGCACGGAGTCTGTGTTTTTAGGTAGTAGGTGGTACCTGTGAAACCTCCTGCTCTCTGCCCGCTCCCCTTGGAAACATACATGTCTGGGCAGTCAGAGCCTCCAGAGTCATCTCCCTGCTTCCCCAGCCCTAACCTGGCACCTTATTTTCCTGAATGAGTAGTCTGTCTCAGTACTTAGAACATTCCAGACTGTCCCCAGTCATTCCCTGCTGCCACCTCATGTCTGTCATTCCCTCCTCCTGTTTAGGATCTTGACCTCCTTCATCACCTGTATACCCACACCCTACCTGCTTTGTCTCTATAAGTCAGACTGTCACTCTGCCTGAGTCCCTCCCTCCCTCTAGAAGGTGGGCTTCCCTCAAAGGGGAGTATATCTTTGCTGTTCATTGCTGTAACACAAAGCTCATGTAGCAGGTTTCTAGTCACAGCTGTCCAACACGTTTCCTGTGCTGGCTATTGAAGGAGTAATCCTAGTAGCTAGGTCCTGCCTTCCACCACCTGGCTCTGTACCTTTGGGCAGGTTGGAATCATTTAGCCTTTCAAATGTCCTGTACAGCTGTATTTGAGTAAGGTGTTGGGAAGACAGGCCCCAGCACAGCACTTTCTTAAGTGGCTGTAATAGGAGTATAGCTCTTACTTTATCATTTATGAAAGTGTTAAAGCTGTTTCTGTACAGCTTTAAGAACTGAAGTCATTAGTGTCTTATAATTGATGCCAAATCTGCAACTAACCCAGCAGGCCCATTCTGGACAAATGTCTCTGCCTTGAATCATTCTTGGGTTAGGTATCAATTCTCTGTTAGGTTCTAGCACTGAAAGGCCTGATAAAATGTCTTTTTTGTTTTTTTCTAAAAACAGGGTGTTTTCAAAGTACCAGTACTTTGACTCCCGAGGGATGTTCATTTCTATTGTGTTCTCAGCACCGTTGCTGTTCAATGCCTTGGTCATTGTGGTATGTGCAAACTTTTACATCCTGGTTTTCTCTAGATACATACTTCCTGGTTTTAATCATTTCTTCAAATGATTTTTAGATTATGTGGATACGAAAGACTTTGAATGTGATGACTGACCTGAAGAACCTGCAAGAAAAAAGAAAGAGGAGAAAGGGAAGAAAGGGAGAATGATGTCACAATGGCTAGGACCTCAGCTGTTTTCCTGCCTGGGCTGTTTCCAGCATTTAGCTGTGCATGGCCCAGTGTCCTGTTGTCTGACTCAAGGTTTGGAAAATGGTTCTTGTATTTTATACTCACCGTGATGGCCCATTGGCTGAAGTTGTATTTTAGAAGCTTCATTGACTGTGTCACCTGGATGCTTGCTGAATATGGACTGTCATCAGTGTGTTGGGATCTTTCTGGTTCAGCCACAGGAAGAGCCCTGCTCAGCCTTTCAGGACTTGCTGATAGATCTCATTACATAACTGGAGTTCACTCAGTTCTGAGTGTGGAATCTCAGAAATAAACAGAGCCATCCTGCTGTGGTACCATCACCCTCTCACCTGTTTCCAGTTGTGGCTTTCAGCTAAGGGTGATTTTGTTCCCCAGAGACTTGCGACACAGTTTGGTGACACTTGCTGTCACGTGTGGTGGACATGGTGCTTGTGTCTGTTGGGTAGAGCCTAGGATGATGCAGAAGTCCTACAGGGTACAGGACAGCCCCATCGGGGAGTGCTTTCCTGCATATGTGGGCTGTTCCCAGGCTGAAGGATCTGTGAGGCAGATATGGGCAAAACAAAACAAAGTGCAGTGTATCTCACTTCCATGAAGTGAGGCCTCTAAAGAGCAGCGTTGGGGCTATGCTGTTGAAAATGTTTTGTTTAAAAATATTAAGCTAGAATGGAAGCTATAGTCAAGATTTCATGAAGAATAATATGTCAAATGAGGCCTTTGGTTTTGTTTCTTCTGGATGCAAAATTATAGATACTCAGTGAATGGCTTAGCTGTTTCTACAGTCTGTGGCAAGCGTAGATCAGTTGTGTTCTCTTGAGTGTCACATCTTGTGCAGTTGGGTGTCGGGAGCCATGAGCAGGGCATGCTGTTATTTCTGCTGCTGCTCTGTTGGACACTGTTCGCTTCTGGAATCTGGAGCAGTAGATGGAAATGACAGGTGACTGGAGACCCAGACTAGAAACAGTATTCAGTACCAGGATGTTGTAGGCTCTTGACTTCAGTTTAAAGGAATAATTTATGAATTGTTTCCTTAATAGGCAGGTTGATAGATTACAAAGATGTCCTGAAATCCGGGTATGTAGTTTTTAAATGTTCACACCACCTCAGCCTCCTAGTGGAATGCTTGCTGAGTTCTGGTGGTCCTCAAGTCTGAGTCAGTGACATTGTCTCAGTGAAGCCACTGCAGGTTCTAACCTGACTTGTCTTCACAGTTCCTTCCTGATTTTTCTTGACACTTTTATATTGAGCACAAAATGTAATGTAGGAAGTACTATATTGTAAGTCAGATTTTAAATTTAAAATCATCCTGTTAAGTGACGGGCAGTGTATCTGTTTCTGAGAATTTCTAGTTCAGGGTTTTTAATCATATAGCTTCAAAAGAGCTCACTGTATTACAAATTAGTTTCACAGAAAAGAACAAATTGGTCAGTTTTTGACTAGATAAATCTGGAACAGGAGACTGTCAAGTAGGTATGGTGCTCACCAACCAGATCTGTTCACTTCAGGCCTTTGAAGCAGTGATGCAGAATGAGGCTGAGAATGGTTGAGATGTCTGAGTTTTGGCACCATCCAGGGTAGCTGCATGGCGTTGGTTGTGGCCAGATTGAGAGGAACCAGAGCACTTGTAGGTTCTGTGCATTTTAGGACCGCACTCTCAACACGCACATTGGGACTGCCTGTGTTCGGTCCGTTCAACTAATTCTAGTTTTTCTCTAGTAAAATTCTGCAACAGTATTGTTTGCTTTACATTATCTTGATATTAATAACTTCGATTATATATAACCATGACCTTAGTGTTTGAGCTTTCCTTCCTTACCTCTGAGTGTATGATTGTGGATTCACATGTGATTGGTTTTTGAGATGGTTATAAATATTTTGGGCTGGGGAGATGGCTCACTTGTTAAAAGTACTTGCCTTCCAATCATGAAGATCTGAGATTGGTCCTGAGGACCCATTTAAAAAGTTGGGCACAGTGACATGCACATGTGGAGACAGGTAGGTCACTGGGGCTTCCTGATCAGTAGCCCAGCCTACTTGATAAGCTCTAGGTAGAGAAAGACTCTTTCTCAAAAAACAAGATGAGGGCTTGTGAGATGACTCATTGGGTAAAGGTGATTGCTGCCAAGCCTGATGACCTGAGTTTGATCCCTGGAACCTACATGGTGGAAGGAGAGAACCAGCTCCCATGTCCGGTGACTGCATGCACTCACACACAACACACACACACACACACACACACTCTAAGTAAATAAATGTAAAAAGGTGGAAGGTGTTCCTCAAGAACAGCACCCCCCTGATGTCCTCTGGCTTTCACACACATATACATGTACACATACACTGGTACACACATGAACACATAATAAAAGTTTTGCACACACATAAAAGTTTTATCTTTAATGAAGTTCATATTCAGTGCCTAAAATTGCACTATGAGGAACTGTCTTAATATTTTGTCTTTATATTAGGGAAAACCCTGAAAGCCAGACTTATCATCAAGCAATTGTGTAGTTCATGTGATGTGTGTAGGTTCATTGCTGCTTTGAGAATTTTACATGTGACCAGTGCTATGTTTACACTCCTGTAATGAAGGCTCATGGGCAATGCTTTGATGAGTAAACATGCTTTTACTGTGTACTTACAAACAGAGCAGAGGAAAGGCTTAGGATAAACATCTCACACATTCCATCCCATGACACCTTTGTTGGTTACTATGCATTACTATACAATAAAATGCTTGATAATATACAGTGTGCTTTTCACTGTGTGTTTTGAATCTAATCCTAAGATTCCCCTGCAGTACTGGCTTCTTGGCCTCTGGCTGTGATCCTCACACCCCTGGAAACCCAAGACTCAGCATCAATAGAAGAAAATCAACTCAAGCATGGAGCTGTGTGTAATAAGAACACCATAGGCGAGCCTGGATTTAACATACTGTGAGGAATACAGCGTCAGGACTGTCATTGTCCTTCCCCTTCACAAAACATCCGTTTAGAAGTAAAATGTTCACAGACCTGCTGAGAGATTCAGAACAAGGCGCTTCAGCGTCCTGTCACAGATGCTGGAGTCTAGCACAAGAGCTGGCTCCATCCCTGAGGCCCAGGACTCCTGATGACTTTCTTTGGGGAAGGACTCAGAGCATCCTCATGGGTGCATTAGGTGGAGTGTAGGGTGATGTGAAGTTCTGCCAACCAGCTCATTTGACCCTTTGTGTGTTTACTGAGGCCACTTGTGGTCAGGGAGTGCCTGATTTGCATCCACTCATTCACATGACAGGTAAGAACTAGACACCTTAAGTGTCAGAGACTTCAGGTCGACATTGTAATCCAGTGAATTGAGAGACAATGTTTGCAATTACTAAGTGTATGTAGTCACCCCCAGGGAATGGAGTCTAAGACCCCTTCCAGATACCAAAATCCACAAGTCCCCAAGTCTGTCAACATTAGGTGGTATAATGTTTGCACAGAAGCTACATGCTTTCCCTCCCCTCCCCCCTGCATAGTTTAATCTTTAGATGATTTATGTACCTGACACAATGTAAACACTATGCAAGTCATCTTTACCCTTTTTCAGGAAATAAGAAAAATGGCCATTCATGTTCAGGCTAGATGCATTTTTCCTCTTGAACATTTTCTGTCCAAGTTTGGTGGAATTCATGGGTGTGCAAAGGTTGGGTGTTAGAAGTGCTCTGGAGAGAACAAGCAGTGCGGGAAGCACCTAACTTAACAGAGTGGTAGATTTTAAGCAGTTCCTTAAGGGAGAGGGTTGGTAGAACTGCAAGTCTTTGGATCAGCTGCAAGCCAGTGGAAGCCAGTGAGAGACCGGAATGGGTGGAGCCTACCCAGGCCCGCAAGAGGCCGCACCCAGCAAATCCTTACCCAGAGAGACCTTTTACCCAATATTCCTGCAGCCTGGAAAGCCTGGCATTTACTGACTGATGTGGGTGACCATAACAGGGAGGTTCAGGGTTAGAGTGGGGCCTGGATGTATTGGAGCCGGAGGCTTACGCTGTTCTGTAGCAAAGGGGCTGAGAAGAGAAGGCAGATGCAGGAGGCAGTTTGTGGGGACTTCAAAATGCAGGTTTGGGGTTGCTTCTGATGCAGATATGGGACGAGGTCATGGGGTCCATGTGTTCTACAGAAAGGCATTGGAACAGGACAGAAGCTCACAAAGCATGAAGCAAATGTCAAGAAGTGCAGGTTGGTGTTGAGTAACAATTTCCTCCTAGATAAGACATTCAGTCTTAGAGGGATGCTGGTTAAAACACAGGATGTTCAAAGGGGAGGTGGAACATTCCATCCTGCAAGGAAGCTTTTTAAGCTTGGGATGTAAACTCAATAGATCCAGGAAGTCCCCCAAACTCAGCAGATTCATCCAGGTCCCTCCCTTCCCAAGCATAGGGAAGCTGAGACAATCAAGCTGAGCTCAGAGCCTTGAAGACTCACCTCTCCTAGCGGATTGGAAACCACAGATCAGCTGGAAGAAGCAGAGACCAGCTGAGTTGCCTGGGAAAGAAACGATCCATCCTTTTGAACTGCCTGAAGGTTGTGCAGGGCACTTCAGGTTTCCTGCTTTTGTGGTTGAGCTGTCACCTGTGTTGGAGTGGGCTGTCACCGTGTTGGAGCAGGCTGTCACCCGTGTTGGAGTGGGCTGTCACCGTGTTGGAGTGGGCTGTCACCCTGTTGGAGAGGGCTTTGGTGATGCAGCCTGTCATTGGTTCCCTATTTGGGGTTAGTAAATGTTTGATCATGTCCCAAGAATAATGTCACAACAGTCCTAGAGCGAGAGGAGAAAGTGTCCAGGGCCAGACCTGAAGGCAAGAAACACTGCTGCTCGGGTGAAAAAAGGCTGGTGGCCCTGTATTAAGCCATGTCTTGGCTACCTGGCCTTGGCTGGACCCTCTTACACAGAGGTTGGTCTAGCATGGTCATTGGTGGGACATCTTAACCAATTGACTATTGCTGTCTTGCCCCTCTGTAGATTTTCTTCCTTTTCCCTGATTTGTAGTTTCATTGTGGTGCATCCTCAGACAGTAGCCATCAATTGTGGAAATTTTCTAGCTGGTGTTTCTTCACATAGTAACCCTACCAGAAATGCACAAAACATGGCAGAAGCAGAGGACCTTGTAGGACCTGACAGGTGCACTCTTTCAGGTGACAAGGCCTCTGTAAGACTGGGTCTAGTGTGACCACCAGTTCCGGCACACATGTTCTGCCTGCTTACAGTGTGCGACCCCCTGTGTTGTGTTTCAGAGGTCTGTAAGCCTTAAGTGGAATGGGTGGCTCTGTTTGCATTGATTCCAGTTGCTGTCAATTTTCGATTTTTAATAGCTGCTTTTTAAAAAAAAAACTTTGAGAATTTCATACATGCATATAAGATGTTTTGATCAAATCCATGCCCACTCCCTCCCCTTCAACTCCTCCCATATCTCCCCATCACTTTTTTCTGACAACTTTGTCGTGTTCTTTCTCTCTTTCTTTTCTTTCTTTTCTTTCTTTCCTTCCTTCCTTCATTCTTTCCTCCTCCTCCTCCTCCTC